AGGACGCGTGGCCCCAGAGGGTGTTATGCTAGTGGAGTCGGAGAGAGACAAGCACCGTACGACTTAAATGCAGAGCCTACTTTAAAGATTTTATTTATTTTTAGAGAGGGAGAATGGAAGGCGGAAAAGAGGGAGAGAAACAGCCATGTGTGGCTGCCTCTCACGTGCCCCGCACCGAGGACCCGGCCCGCAGCCCAGGCCTGCGCCCCGACTGGGATGGGACTGGCGACCTTTTGGTTCGCAGGCCTGCGCTCCACCCACGGAGCCACACCAGCCCGGGCAGTGAAATCTTCTTTTAAATAACAAAATAAACAAACAGAACAGACTCATAAATAGAAACAGGAACCTGAGGGTTGGTGGCCCTGGCCAGACGGCTCCGTCGGTGGGAGCACTGTGGGTTCGACTCCCAGTCAGGGCGCAGGAGTCGGTTGTGGGTTTGGTCCCCAGGCGGGGTGCACGTGGAGGCCGCTGATTAACATCTCTCTCTCTCAAATCAATCCTCAGGTCAGGCTCGAACTGCGGAGGGCCGGACAGGAGGGGCGCTGGGGGCTGCGTAAAAGGCGACTGGACTGACAGGTGCGAATTGGCGGGCACGGAACAGCCGCATAGCCACAGGGTGTAGAGCCAAGCCCGGGGAATGCACAGTCCCGGTGTTGTAACAACTATGGGGGTCCGGTGGGTGCTGGACGCAGCGGAGGGGTTGCTTTGTAAACCACTACGCTGTGCAGCTGAAACTTACATATGATACTATCGAACGTCAAAAATTAAAAACGAACACGCTTTCTCCACGCCACCACCAGCGGTGCCTGCCCTCAGGCTGGGCCTCGGAGACACCGCGCGTCTGGGACTCACTGGCTCACCGCCAGCACAGCCACTGTTCCCGCCCGTGCGCGCCCAGGCGCCACCCGGCCGCCCCTTCACACACTCTCCTGAGCATTTCTCAGAGTGAAGGGCTGTTTGGGACACAGTCTCTCAATTTTTGTTTATAGAGAAAAGTCCGTATTTTGCCTCCATTTTGAAGACTTGCTGGATACAGGGTTCTTGTTGGGAGGTTTTCAACCCAGCACCTTGAGCGGCGTCCAGGTTTCTGTCTTCGGTTGAGCGCGGCTCGGTGGGTCACGCAGGGTCCCCTCTGTGCAGCCGGCTTTGCTCCCTTTGCCCTCAGGGTCCTGTCCTCCCCATTCGCATTCCACAACTGGGCTGTGATATTCCTCTCCTTCTGCTTGAAGCTGGACCATGTGCAAGGTGGCACTAGAGGTGACCTGGACACCCCTGTACACAGGTGTCCCTCCGCCCAGTCTGCAGGACAGGGGGCCTGACCCGCACTCTCCGTGTGCCCTTGACTCGTTCCCCCCCCCCCCCCACTCCCTAACCCTAACCCTAACCCTAACCCTTCCAGTCCAGGCCCTGCGGCCACCTCTTCGGCTGGGCCTTGCCCCTCCCTGCGCTGCTGCGCACCCTCTTGGCTTCCCTCTCCCTCCGTCCATCCCCCCAGCAGGAAAGCACAGGGCTCTGGTCTGGCCACTTCTTCCTTCTTGTCTCCCTCAGTCACATGAAGGAGTCTGAGCTGTTGATGTCAGGCCCTTTCTTCCTCGCAGGCCCTCTGGTGGCACCAGGGACACTTGGCGACGTCGGCGCACCCGTCCAGCCCCCTCTACCAGGCCAGGGACGCTGATAGCGTCACGTTGCCACTGCACACCACGCGGTCACATGCAGAGAGGGACCCCGCCCACACACTTGAAGTGCTGTCAGGTTTTACGGCAGTCACCGAACCAAGCCCACATCCCAGCCGAAAATGGGAGATGCAGAGACAGGCCAGAAGTGAGTGGCACTGTGAGGAGAGCTGTGTCCACTCTCGGCCGACCGAGGCACAGAGGTGGCAGGCTGGCCTCTCTTCACCGCCACGGTCCAAGGCCGACACCCGGGCCTCAGAGCCGAGAGGAGAAAACAGCCCCAGCGGGCCAGCCTTCCTGCCCGGAACACCGTGAGCTGCCGGTCACCACAGACGTGACCAACTCACGCATGCCAACTCGATCCCCACCACGAGATTACCGTGGACCAAAGGGGCACAGCTCAGGGAGCGCGGAAGGCGTCTGCTGTCAAACACAGGTGTCCCTAGTCAGGGGACTGGGGAATTTATGTACCCATGGCCCCAGGGCCCCGCAAAGGCAAGAAAGCAGCCGCCCTGTGCTGGGTAGGGGCGCGCTCTGACAGAGAGGGGGCGCAGAACATTGTTTTGTTTTGTATTTTATTACATCAATGGCTTGAAAATTTTTATTTAACTTCAGCAAATATTGGAAATAGAAAAATGAATTCTGCAGAATTTCACAAATAAATTTTCCAATCTCCACTAACAAATGTTATTATCCAATGGCTAAGCAATTATAATGCTATGAACATTCACCATAATGAATGTACTGAAAATAGAAAACAAGCAAAAAGAGACATTAAAATATTACTTACACAGCATTATTACAACATCTTTTCTTTAAAATCCCAACATGGATTTTATCACTTCAAAAGATATACAGCATTTCCATTATATTTGCAAACTTAACCTTATACATCTTTTAAAATCTTGAAAAATTTTGAAGCAATCTAAAAAGCACTTAGCAAAGTTGATAAGTCTACATAATGGAATACTATCCACTCCAGGATACACCTCAGGTTTAGAAGGCGACTGTAAACACTCGTTATCATACAACATGCATAGACTAGACCGACCGTCCTCCTCTGAGCTGTCACGCTGCTGCAGTTGTGCTTGACTCGACGAGGAAAAGCTGCGGAGACCCGGGGGGCGGGGGGCAGAGGGCGCTTGTTTCCGAGCATTGCACGAGGTCACTCACGTGAGCTGCCTGCCTTGAGGCGACGGAGGCAAAGTCTCACTCGATAGTAAAAGCCTGAGCCCTGGTCAGCGGGTTTGGAAACAGGCGAGAGAGAGACAGCAAGGCGCCCGACGGGCGGGCGCCGCCTTCCCTGCGCGCGCGTGAGCAGGGGTCCAGTTAGTGTGATGCGCTGTTTGGCTTGTTTTTGGCGTGCGGTTAGACCAATAGTACATCTGATACTCAGAAAGACAAAAATAGGGACAGCTGAAATTTAAAGTGACAATGAGCACACTTATGATGGTGTGTGATATCTGAAGAAACTTTATATACACAGAAAACAACTGCTTAATTAGTCCACCATAGTCAAGTTGCAGAACAACTGTTTTTTCATACTCATTTTTTGATTAGAGGTTTGTGACCATCAAAGGGTCTTGGAGGTTAAAAACTATCAAAAACCATTTCACGTCACTGGTGTCTTGGTCACACAAACACACCAAGACGGCACAGCGGGTGTGTCACACTGACCTCTGGCCCCTGGGCCGCTCACCTATTAGCGCAGCGCAGGCCACTTCCTGGTTAGCGGAGCTACGTTACGGAATTGATCACTGTTTCAAACCAGCCAACACAATATTCAAGTAACAAGGTATTTCCATGGATAAGTGAAAAAAAAATTTACCTAACACTTTACACAGCTACATAAAATTAAATAAAACAAACTTTTAATGCATATGCAATACAATTTATATCTTTTAGGATTTCTAAACTAAAACTATCATTTGTTTCAATGGTACTATTATTCTGCACAATAACTTATACTTAGGAGAAATTTCCCACAAAAATATATATATAATTATGACATTCACATTGATAATTTTTAAGAAGACAAAGCTTAAGTGAGCGTTGCATCCGAAGCAGTTGTCACTGTGGACCCTGACGCATCCAAACACGACCTGCTGATGCACCCAAGTCTTGATATGTTTCAAAGGGTCTTCACATAAATAAGACCAGGTCACTTCACTTTTAAAGCAAAGTGATTTCTTGCATTTACAACATCATTGCAAAGACAGTGTAAAGAAACAGTGGAAAACACAGTGCTATCTTATGCGTGAAACCACAGCGAAGGCAGTCAGGCAAAGACGACCATCTTTTCTCCTCCTGGCAAATGCGAACACCACGACGGCCCTTTTCCTTGGAGAGTACGCCTGAACTAGCCGCTGCGATGGCGAGGCGGCCAGCACAGTGCCTCTTTAGGGCTGAAGTGCACTCAGTGCCTGGGAGTGAGCGAGGGCTGGTGCAGGGCAGACAGGCCCAGCGCTGCGGTGTGCCCGCAGGACTGGCACCAGGCGGTCTGGCGCTGCCAGAGGGGCCGTTCCGAAGGAAAACAGCCCGGGCACGGAGGAAGAGAGCTGCTGGCAGAGCGAGCGCCCCTGCAGGAAACTGTCCCTGCCCCTGCGCAGAGGAAGGCGGCTGTGAGAAGGAAGGAAAAACTAAAGCCTCTCCTTGCGCCTGGTGTCCCCCTGGAGCGGTGTGCAAAACGCAGGCCCTCCCCTCCCTGCGCTCCCGCCCTCTGCGTCCCCAGCAGGCTCATCCCGCCAAGGGAACTGGACGCGGGGCTCCGAGCGTTCCTCTGCTTCCCGTCCAGGCCGGACCAGGAGCTGTGGCTGCCCTCTGCCCTCTGCCCTCCCGGCGCTGCTCCCTGTCTGCTCTTACCTGACTCCCAGGCGACTGAGCGCAGGGACAAGATGATGCCTGTTGGGAAAGTCCCCGTTTACTTCCCTCCCTCTGAATGACCTTTGTCCAGATTCCTAAAAAAGCACGTCCAATTCCAAAAAAACCTATGATTCTAGCTGACCCTCTTCCTAAAGAGAAAGCCAGCTGACTTAAAAAAAAAAAAAAAAAAGGCAAGGTGCTTCAGAGTCAAAACACATCAAATTTTAATTGCATATTTTAAATTCTTAGAATTCTGTTTATGCCGCCTTAAAGCATCTGCATTTTTTTCTTTTTGGTATTGAAAGCAGGAAAAGTATTTAAATGATGCAAAAACAAAACAAAAAGCTCCTTCAGCCTGTGTAGTGCAGGCTGAGCTGACTGTAGGCAGGGGACGGGCGACGTTGTATCCCAGATACCAGTGTCACCACCCCCCCCCGCCGGCACCCCCTGCCCACTGCCCCTGGGCAGGTCCACGCCTGCTGAGAGAGAAGTGATCCTGGAAGTCTTGGGGCACTGAGGAGACATTCCCCTTGTTCCCAGTCCAACCAAAAGGCAGCACATGCCATGCTGCAGACCATCCCTTTTCACCTTGCACTCACTAGAACCGACAAAGTGCTCACTCCTCTGGCTCGTACTGTACTGTGAAGAGAGGGCGGTGTTTGTGGTCACATCGGCACACGAAGGACCAAAGGGTTTGTGGAGTGACGAGTAAAAGGCCAGGCATGCAAGAGGATGGGGCCCATGTGTACTTTCATAAAACCCTCACCAGCTAGTCTACTACCTTTTGTCACGTGAACCTGACATTTAAAATCTGCACCGTCAGAATCTGCAGCAAGTTCCCCCATCCCCCGATCTCAGCGATGTCTTTGGCAAGCAGTAAACGTTAAAGAAGAAATAAGACACTGAAACAGAAACAGGATGGATAACGTGGTTGCCAAAAGGAGAAGGCACCAATTCCAATATACAAGCACCAGGTACAGTGGTACGGACCAAATCTCTTGGAGTCGGGTGGCAGAGGCGGGGAGGCGGGGGCGAGGGGCGGCGCCCGTCTGGGGCCACAATGCTGGGAGCAGAAGGCAGAAAGTGTTGAGGTCCACGTTCCTTTTTAGCTGTGTGTCCAAAGAGAGCTGCTGCAAATCAGCTTTCTACCAACTGGGAAGGGAGAAGGGAGAGGTTTAAGCGAACTCGATTTATAAACCATAATTATACCCTACTGTCAGGGAAATGAGAGTTGAATCAGGATGTTTGGCACAATAAAGGTTATAACGCAGTCTGCCAATACACTGTGATTTCCAAAAAAGCATGATCTCATTCAGGTGGACGCCTCAGAAAAGAACAAGGGAAACTTTCTAGGAGGCCAACAGGGCCACAGCCCCTCTGGAAAGGGCGTTATGCACAAGGAGAAACCGCAGGCCATGCAGGGACAGCATCGTGCCTTTTGAGTCGGCTGCCTGTTCTGGAGCTGCCGGCAGGAAGAGCTGCCATCGGTGGGCTCTGGCGCTCCGCCCGGGGCGGCGGTCCCGACTCAGGGCGCGTGCGGGCCATGCGATCCCCCGCACGCACGCAGAGCGAGAGGCGCATGGAGCTCTCTGGGAAGTGGTGCCGACATGGAGGAACGAGCAAAGAATTAAGGCAGATGTAGCGAGGACCGGAAGTGTATGCCTTTTTTGGTAATAGCTGTTGTCCACAGAGATGCGATGCGGACGGCCAGGTGATGCCGTGTAACACCTGATATCCTGGGTGACACAGTGGTCCATACCGAGTGCGGAAGTTGCCTGCGTCCCTCAGGAGGCAGATGCATATCTGACGTCAAGAACGGACGCGGCCTGAGGAAAGGAGGAGAAAAAAGAATCAAAGAGCAGGCAAGAGGGAGGGGGAGGCTGCCCCGCCTGGAGACCGCAGGGCAGCCACCCGTCGGTTTCTAAGCGCTCAAGCGCAGAGGCAGCGTGGCCTCTACAACCCAAGGTCCTGGGCTCGAATCCTGGCTCTGCCACTGTCTAGCTGCGTCCGCTTGCGTGAGCTCTTCTTTTTGAGCCCCACTGTCTGCTTCTGCAGAATGTACCCAATGATGGTGTCTACCACGCAGGATGAACTAGACCCCGCTAAAAAGGGCAGTTGGCACGTGCTCGGCAAGTAGTTATCCTCAGGGACATCAGCACTGGCTGGAGGGGCCGCCATGCAACTACCTCAGCCAACAAACAGCCCCCGACTCAATGGGGACACAGGGTACCCGAGACCCCTGAGATCGCAGGACCCTCTTTAAAAGCTTCCCAGGTATTTAACCCTCCACTTTCATTTTCAAACCCAAGTCCCAGACCCACGCCTAAGGGCTACTTGTGTCTCAGGCTCTAACCACCGGCCGTGTGTGTCCCAGGCGAAGCCGGCTCCCCAAACTGCAGTCAGACCAGGCGATGACTCGCTGCCACTACGTGCGATCCAGCTCCGGTTTTAGCTAAGAGTCTTCTCTCCCATCCGTCAGTGTCAGCGGCGCCCGCACCCATTCTGACCCCCCACCCCACACCCCGACCTTGGCTGCCCCAGAGAACCCCAGGTCTCAGGAGCTCAGGCCCCGTGGCTCCCTTCCCGCCTCAGCCTTGAAGGAAAAGAGCAGGTCTGACGTCCTGTGCCTGTGAGGATGACAAGACGCCCAGGAACTCCTTCCCTCCTGTTTACAAAACTTGCCTGTGGTAAAATGGGCTTTGATTTGAGTCTCTGCAGAGCCCGCCCAGGGTCTGACGCGAGGACGCCCTGTGCTGGGGCTCCTGGTGCCCTGACATCCCCTTCCCGTCCGTGCGGCATAAGCGCGAAACCTGGGGCCGGGGGGCTGGCCGGACCCTGCACACAGCTTTCTCGGGGCTGGACTCTCCAAAGTAAACAAGGACGCAGGGTCCCAAGGCCACCCTGCCAGAGCAGCGAGGAAGCAGGCGTGAGCAGCGTTCGAACAGCTGCCCGCAGGCCCTCGGGGCGCGGCCCCACAGCGGCCCTGACGGGGGACTTCCCCGCAAATGGAGGAGGGGACACCAGGGCGGTGGGGCAGAAGGGCTTCTGCTGTGAGAAGCAGAATAGGAAATGGACTGAAAAAAGGAAATCCAGGTGTGTGAAGCGTGCGTCTTTTTAAAATTTATTAATTAGAGAGAGAAACACCAGTTTGCTGTTCCACTTAGTTACGCATTCACAGGCTGGTTCCTGTATGAGCCCGCAAACTTCGCGTAGTGGGACGACGCTCCAACTGAGCTACCCGCCAGGACTCGCTCCCCGTGCGCGCGTGCGCGCATGTGAGAGAAATGGTGAAAGAGGCGAACCACCTGAAAGGAAACGTGAAGACTACGCACAGGTGAGACCACCCTCCCTGAAGAGCAGACACAGAGAAGACCAGCCGCCGAAGAGAAGCAGAGCCCCGCCGCTGGGCGGGCCCACACCAGAGGCGGAGACCAAGGTGCTGCGCGTGCTGTGCTGTGAAATCAGCCGGGGAAGCGGGCCACTGAGGGCGGGCCTTCTGACTAACCAGGAAGAAAAAGGAATTGACTGATCTAAGTCTGCCCGTAAATGAACCAGAAATAAGGAAAGAAAGCAAAGTAGAGGCACCAGAACCGACCCCCGGAGCTGCCGCCTGACAGCGCCGGCTCGCGGACACCTGCTGAGGGAAGAGCGCCAGCTCCCCAGCCCTTCCCTCCTGGGGCTGACGAAGGAGCGCTTCCTTTCTCGCTAATTCCTACACTCTGTCCACAGGCATCCTCGTCTTTCTATGCTTCCTAGGTTGAGTCCAGGGCTTCAGGAAGTTAACTTGCTGCTAAAGGGGCAATTAGCACCAGGACAAAAACCACTGGCAAAGATAAGAACACCTTCGTTTTGCTGCCATGCTGCTGTGCTCCGGGGCCGCAGGCCGGCTGTTCATAGGGCAACTCGGGGGACACGCGCACTGGCAACACCGATCACAAAAAGACTTCTCTGGAGGAAGGCTCCAGGGCATCCGATGCTAACACAGCGCGTCAGCTTCGGCACTCTCTGGCCAAGGGGCGCCCCCACACGCAGGCCGGACTGGGCCCCTGGGCTGCCCCACAGCCAGGCTCCTCGGAGGGAAGCTCCGACAGGAGAACAGGGCATTCCAAGTTATCCCTGCGTGGTGGCTGGAAGGCTCAGGTGGGAAAGCGACTTTCCTTGTAAAGCTAAATTAAGCCTTAAGTCACTGTGTCAGGGAAAAAACTCAAAACGTGACTGGCAACGATCTCTCCCTGTGCCCAGCCCTCCCACCCCTTCTGTGGGAGTGAGGGGCAGATACACAGCAGGGCAGGTCGGGCGACATGTGAGGAAATGGCCACAGTCCTGTCACAGGAAGCAGGCAGGTGACAGATGGCGCCCTGCAGCCTCAACAATCTTCCTGATCTCTGCTGGCTGGGCTGGCAGATTCGGGGCCACCGTCCTGGAAGTCCCAGCCAACACGACATCCAGAACTGTGCCCATCAACATGTCAGCTCGGAACACATCCGCGGCTGGAAGCGGCGGACAGCAGAGATGGGCCAGGCGCTCCTGGCTGGCTGGCTGCGCCCACACACCAGTGAGCTAGCCGGCTTCACGGTGAGATACCTGCACATTGTACGGGCTGGCTTTGCGGGAGCCGCTCAAGGCACTTCCCGCTGACAGTCCGGTGGCAGAGCTCTGCTGCACCCAAGAAACAGTGGTGATGGAGACCACTCTGTGGCTGGGAAACCAGGATGAAATCGGGAATTTGCCCAGGAATTCAAATGTGAGTGATACACACAGTAACAAAAAATTAATTGAACACATACGTACAGGCAGAAGTGTTTACAGGCAAAAGTCGTTACCGACAGAGCTAAAATCTAAGAACCCTTCCCCTGCTGAACAAGGTCATCTGTGAGCAAACTAAGCAGAAGGGGAACGTGCATCTGGCAGAGGAGAGCGCCCGCAGCTCCGTACTCACCTCATCATCCTCTTCGGAAACCTTGATCGAACTATCCGGACTCCTGGCAGGTTTCTGGTTGCTCGGCCCATTGGTCTCTTCTTTCCCATGCTCGGCCTCCCATTCTTGTAAAACTTCATCTATGTTGAAGCGACGTCGATAATTTACAAAAAAGTTTTTCACTTGTACCACTGATTTGTTCCCAATGACATCTGAGATGGCCTGAAAATCGCGGCCATATTTCCTGATGGCTATGGACATAAGAGAGCATTTTTCAATGCAAGAGAAAACCAGTGAAAAACACATACAACAGAGACTTACTCACATCCAGATAAGAAAACATACAGGCTTTCACGAGCAGGCACTACCTTCGTGTTTTAGACCCGTGGAAAAAGTAGCACTCTAGATACATTCTGTGGGTGGCTCATCAGAGTTCAGTGTGACCCTGTCACCCAGAAATCTGTACCTCGTCATCAGATGACACACGGACCCCGAGGTCCCCCAGCAATCACTCCGTGGTTGGGGACATCCTGCGTTTGTCTTTTCAGGGCCCCCAGGGCTGGAACGCCTCCAAAACCTGATGCTCTGTCTGCTTTTTCGGGGTTTGTGCTTCCTGACTATTCAGTACCCAACCCCACACAGAGCTGTCAAGATGAACTACTCACACCTTTAAAACGGACACCCCCACACACTACTTTTACATCTTGTGAGACCCAGGAAAAGAAAAAGGCAAGCCCAGGGGGAACTCAGGAATGGGGTTAAAATGCTGTCTGCTGCCAGAACTTGATCCTCCAGAATCTGTTCAGCCGGGAGCCGCGTGCCGGGCGCGGTGCGGGGCACGCCTGTCCCTAGAGGCTCCTTCGGAGGAGGCCCCCCCATACCTTGCACGGCGAGAAGCTGCTCCTCTGTGGTCCAGCGCGCGTTACTTTTCTGAATGACCTGGATGTCCAAATGAGCCACATCAGCATGCCGCACGTCCTTACGAGGGCTAATGAAATCTTTTTCTCATATCAGAATTTTAACATCAACTAGGTTTACAAATTTCTGTTTATACTTCTCTTTCTAATAGGTGTATACCAGAGAGATATTACATGGATATTACACTTAAACACATAAAACTGGGCTATGACTTCTGAGATGAGGTTAACATAATCGTACCTCTGGAAGTCGATACGGTTCTATTCCACCGTCAAGTTTTTCTTTGAGAGCACTGTTTGTCTGTTTAATATTCTGAATCTAAGAGAGAAAAGATTTTTGTTTTAAAAGTGGAACAGGCTGAGCACGGTAGGGGCAGTGGGCCGGTGTGCAGGAACACAGGTGGCACCCTCCCGGGAGCACCAGGGCGGGGCCAGAGGCAGGGCTGGGCGCAGGCGGCCGCCCAGCTCTGTGCTCCCTGGGGGCTGCGCACTGGGCACCCACAAGAAGAAGTGACAGGACAGTGATCTGACATCAGGGAAGAACCCAAGGCAGGAGTTAGTGAGGCTGAAGGGAAACCGGATGTCCTTCCTGGCCCCATAAATACCCATGGCTTACGGCAGGGAGAGTGAAACCAGTCACTGACACTGAGAAGTCAGTGCTGATCAGCAGCTTTGAAAGGGGACAGAAAACGAGGACCGGAACTTTTGCTGGACGAGCCTACAGACCATCGGCAACGTCCCAGTGCCAATGCCGCCTGTTGGCTCTCAGATGACCTGAGAGCCCGCGCCCTCCGAACCACCACACACGCCCGGAAGGACCAGCCGGTGAGGGGCACGGCCCGGCTTGGGAAGGGCTGGAGGGCAAAGGGGGCCTCTGGCAGGAGGGGGCGCCCCTGGAAGACACCTCTGCCGGTACGCGCTCCGTCCTGGGCACCTCCATGCCGCACCGACCGCAGCCTGTGCGCGGGGGAGTTCAGGAAAGTCCCTCCAGCCCCTAGATCATGAAAACCTCGTGGCAAAACCCAGGGCAAGGGTATCTTTCTGATCAACAAGCTCTCGCAAATCAGAGTGGTCCCAGGACAGCCGAACGTCTTCGTGTGTATCTCAATCCCCTAAGGATGCCCACATGACCTCTCTCCGTACCAAAACCTGTAACTAGCTGGCACGAAGGTGTTCCACCTGCGTGCGTGAGTCCCAGTGTCCCGCACCACCCTCTGCGCTGCCATGTGGAAGCCAGGACCCGTTGCTTCTGCGCAGTGAACCGTGGCCACAGCGCCAGTGAGCTGTGTGGCAGGTCTGTGTGCTCCCCTGGGCTGCCACTTGGGAACACCGGGGACAGCGACCGCCTCCACGGGGGCAAGCGGCCCGGCCACAACTGTGGCGGTGTCTGCAGAGCACCCGGGCAGGGTGGGGCCAACGAGCTGCTGCACAAGGTGGACCAGACCGCCGGGGGGGTCACCGAGGCCGCAGCGCCGGGGAGGAACAGGCAAGCTCCGCGGGAGTGCCGCGGCTCTGACAGCACCGCGGACAACGGGGTGAAGCCCTGGCCAGCTGAGGTTAAGGTGCCCCCGTCTCTCACCGCCACACCGCCAACGATCACACTTTAAGTGCAACCTTATCAACGACACACCCTCGGCAGCCCGCCCCTAACGGCGCAGCACCAGGCTCTCACTGGAACGAGCCCCCCGGAGAAAGTCCTTGGAAGCTGTGGAGTTCTGTCGACAGAGAGCTGGGGCAGGGTGACGCGGCTGGCTGAGCGCGCGGAGTCCTTCGGGCCGTCCACGGCACCCAAAGGAGGCTGCTTGAGAGACGGGGGAGAACCGGCCTCGCCACCGGACGGGACCCCCGGCGAGGGCAGGGGGACAGCTTGAACCTGCCCCTCACCTGACTCTGGCGTCACTGAAGACCTATTTCAAAATTTCCTTTTTCTAGAGCTTTCTTTCCTTTCCTAAGCCCTGGAAATAAATACAGGCACTTCTTTGGAAGACTAAAACAATGAAAAACTTTTATAAAGGTATGGAAAAAAACAACTAAATAAACTAAAGGAAGTAAGAACACCAAAGCAAACAAGTTCCTAACCTATAAGGTGCCCAGAATTCGAGGTCCCTAACCGTCTCCTTTAAGAGCATCTAACTGGACTCCTGAGTTGACCTGCTTAGAGCAACTAGCAAGGGACAACCCAGAAGAAGGGGACGGTGGCAAAGAGGCTCCTGCGTACACAGCCTTCCCCCCGTATCCAGACAGCGATCTCCCGCACAGAAAACAGGCCCCGCACATAGTGCAGAGCCGAGTGGCTCGGCGACCGAGTGGGCAGGAGAGCCCCGGCTGCCCGGTGGCGCTGCAGGCGTGGCCCCGGAGCCCAGCACTGCCGTCGGGCACCATGGTGACGGCCCTGCACAGACGCCCACATGTCTTCGTGGGAGAAAGAGAAGGCAGTGTGTCTGTTCCCCATAGGCCTAATTTTGATCAAGTGTAATTTCTTCATTTTCTCACAAATTATCTTCCCCACACACCTGCTGGAAGTCACTGTACCTAGGCTTTCACTGCCCTTCCCTCATCAAAAGGCATGGCCAGGACAATCCACGCTTCTCCTGAATTCCGCACGGACTCCTGAACACACAGGGCCGCGGAGGGGCCCCTCCCGCAGCTCCATGGAGCAGGGTGCTGCTGTGCCAAGCACTAGGGGACTCGGTCCCTAGCGCTTTTCATTTTTGAATAAACACATTCATTGTCTCCCTAAAATCAATAAAGAAACACGAAATTAAATAAATGGCTAAACATCCATTTATAAATAAATAAGGCAAAACATCCACAGGTTCTGAACTAAAAGTGAGCTCGCTCTGACCTCATCACCCTACACCTCTGTTCCTGATGCATTTTCCCTAGTAAAGTATCCAGTGTTCACTAATGTAAGAATAAGCGAATGCCAAGTGAAAAGAAAGCCAGAGGGGCAAAAAGCCAGGTAAGAAACAGGATACGAAAGTAATCACTTAAAGGATTAAAAAAAAAAAAAAATCGGCCAACTTGGCCTTGTGCCTTACTTAGACCTCCTGGTTCAACACAACTTCCTTTTTTCCGCTTTACCCTGTGGTCAGTGACTCCCCTCTGCGGTCGGACCGTTCTACTCTGCGCTCAGGAAGACCTACTGCCACAGGCTCCCTTGGCCGGACCACCTAACGTTCCCAGCCCCTCTCACTAGTCCACGCAGCCATACAGCGAAGCTCTAGCGTGGAGAAAAGTCTAGGGGTTTCTGGTACAGCCAAAAGGGCAGGCAGGGCAGCCCCACCTCCGTCTCCTTGCCTCACAGCCCTGCACGCCGCGGAAGGGCTACGAAACGGCTTCCGCAGCGCCCGACGGGGCAGATGCGACACGCCAGGTGAAAGGCCGATCCACGACGGGCGCCGGGTAGAAAGAAGAATCGGGGCCCTGCGAGCACCACTGAGCCGACGACCGCCCGCCAGCCCCAGCGACAGCGGGGTTTCTTGCTATTTGATAAAAATAGACCCGTCATTGTTTAAGCTGATATTAGCCAGGCTTTCTGTCATTTTCAGGCGGAAGGTCCCTCACCTACAACTAAATGGGGCCCTTCAGAATAAAACGTCACGGTGTCACTGACTGTCACCCGAGTCCCGACTGCATCCGTCAGGAGCCCTAAAAGGCTACGGGAAGTAAACGACCTGCCTCCTCCGTCAGCAAGTGGGACTCTAAGCCCTCTCAACAATGTGAGCCGTAAGTAGCTACCTTCAAATAAAAAGCTCCTGCTCTTGACCCTGGCTCTGGAAACCAAAGACGCGCTCTCACTGCTCATACGGCACAGGCAGTAACAGCCCTGTGGAAGAAGCCCTGCAGGCGCACGCAGCGGAGGGGCCTCTCGCAGAGGGAGGTGAGGCTCCTCCCGTGCAGGCGGAGCTCCAGGTGCTCGCACAGCGGCCGGGGCCCCGCCTCGTCCGGGGAGGCCGCGTGGGCCAGGACTAACCTCCCATTGGAAAGGAGGCCCAGGAAGGTAAGTGGTTCTCCTCAGACCAGAAGGCAGCTGTGCCAGCAGCCAAGGCGAGGAGCCAGGGCTCTGGCTCCACGAGGCGCGCCCGGCCCTGCTCTGTGCTGCCTCCTGGCACCGGAGGACAGGCCGGGCCCCTGACCCTCTTCTCATCTCTGAAATGACAGCTGGCCTCCTACTTAACTGTCCAAGGGAACCATCAAGATTAACAAGTCAGAAGAGCAACAACTGAAAGGAAACCATCAATCCACAACTTGCCTTGAATTCCAGGGGGAGTGAGGCGGGGAGAGAGGAGACACATAAAAGGAGATTAGGCTACTCGGCAGAATTTTCGGTTTTAATGTACTATGCAAAATTAAGAGTAAAAGAAGCTATTTTTCATATCAGCCATACACAGTAAAAAATGATTAATTTTTAAAAAAGGATCCTTTACAGTAACATTGAAAAAGTACCAAATATCTAGAGACAACTCTAACAATGGATACACAAGACCTATGCTTAGAAAACACCGAAACAGAAATCAAATAGCTCTATAAGTAGGGGGGACATGTCATTTCATGGATCAGAAGGTGTCAATTCTCTATTTTGATCTATAAATTCAATACAATCCCAATCAAAATTCTAGCAGAATTATTTTTTGGGAAATTGAAAAGGTGACTCTAAACTTTATATGGAACGACAAAGGGCCATGAAGAGCCAAGACAATCATGAAGGACGTATTGTATGAGATAGATTTATAATGTTCCTATAATCAGAGAGTACGTACTGGTGAAGAATGGACAGACAGACCAAAGGAACTGATAAGAAACCCCAAACCCAACCATGCAAAAGACCCCACTTACCTAGACAGCCATATAGAAAAACAATCAAGCAAATACTGACTACATATGTAGCAACACACACAGAAAAACACTGCCAGGAAGATCGAGATCAAAACGGAAAGGCAAAACAGCACCAGGATCACACGGCAGAACACCTCCATGCCTGAAGGGAGCTCCTGAGCAGAACTCAAAGGGCACCAACCATAAAAGACAAGAATGAGACACTAGACTACCTTAAAATTAAGGTTTTCTGTTTGCCAAAAGATACCATTAACAGAGCGAAAAAGACCAGCCTCCGAGTGGGAAATGGAAGCTCTGTGTCCCCCTCCTCCCGGGGTCACGCCCACAATGCTCGGGGACATTCTGCTGGTGGGGGGAGGGCGCTAGTCGCATCTAGTGGGTAAAGGCCAAAGATGCTGCCAAAGATCTCACAACGCACAGGACAACTGCCCACAAAGAATCACAGGAAGCTGACGCAACGCAACAGAACCCGCCCAATCCGACAGGACACTCCAGACGACTGCGCGGTACAGCCTTCAGAGGCGGCACCAGCGTGCTCCCTGATCCGGCAATCCCGCTCTCAGGCACAGACCCCACCAGGACGCACGCACAGTGCACCCAGAGTCCCATGGAAGTGTTCATGTCAGTATTATTTGCAATGGGCAAAGATGGGAAAGAATCCACAAAAGTGCATTTTGTGAGACATTTACACAGCAGGGAGAAAGAACAGGAACGACGGCTCTGTGCTGCGTGGATGGCTCTCACACGCGGAAGGAAAGCCAGACGCGAAAGAAACCGCGTCATATCACTTTTATATGAAGTCCCCAAACAGGCAACAGCAATTTATGGTTTGACAAGTCGGAAAAGCAGCCACAAACTGGAGAAGGTGGGGATGAGCCAGAGGGTATAAGGGTCCCGGCCGCAGAGGAGCCGCGGAGACTGGAGGAGAAGCAGGGGGCTCGGGAGGCACCGCTCCATTTCCTGGTGCAGAAGAGAGGTTAGTGGGGCGTGTTCGCCATGTGAAAATCGGTGAGTGCGCGCACACTGTTTTTATGCACACACACATAACATCGATTTCAAAGTGAATTTAAAGAAAAATCAGTGGCCAGTACTTAAGATCTCCTGTCCACTTCCTTAGAAACTAAAGGCCCTTTTGAGATTTGTGGACAGAGAACATCCACATGTGTGGAAAATAAAACACTTCTCAAGAACTAGCCAGGATGACCCCGGGCTGAGCTCTGAGTACCTGTCGCTTGATTGAGACCAATTCCATGTCCAGCTGTCTCAGCACCGTGGTAGCAGCAGTGGCATTGGCAGACACAGCCTCCACATCTTCTTGAGAAAGAAACATTCCTTTTGGAGGTTTCCTTTTTGCTCTATTTTTAGCTTGAGTACTATGTTTTTCTTTCTTGATCTGAGGAGCCGTCTCAGTAGGGGGCACCTGCACAAGACACGTATTTTGGTAAGTGAGATGCTAGTAGAATTAAAATCCCAAATGGACAATAATAAGCATTATTTCCTTAACATGGCCCCAAACAACCTAAGGCAAATACCAGGCTCTATCACAAGCACCATCTCCAGTTCTAACAGGCAACCAACAGACAGAGCACCGGCTATCAAGACTTGGCCCATCACTCGGCAGTGGGCCCGTCCCTTCCAGCACAGACACGCCCTTCTCCGTGGCCACCCCCGACGGCGCCCATTTGCAGCTCCCGGGAGTGACACAGGGAGAAAAAGAGCTGTGCTCTTCCGCTGAGCTGTGTGTGTACGTACACACACGTATGAACAAGGAGCTATTTTATCTTGACAGTCTCTAGTGATACAGACGGACACATGAACATAGAAAGCACAAATTCAGTACATAAAGATTCATTTCAATTCTTCACATCTTTATGGGAGTTTTAAAAAATGTAAATTCAATATAACACTATATATATGCTGTCATTTTAAATGCACGACTACTGCTCCTTTTTAAAAGTGTTTTCTCTAAATTCAAAACCTCCAGAAATGAACTGCAGTGAAACCAAGGCCAGGAAAGGATACCGTCTTACTGGTGACCACTTTAAGAACAACAAGTTTAGGTGACTGGTCGTAGTCTCATCTTGTTAAGAGTATTGGCAAGGGTGTCAGCAAATGCTGATACAACTGAAAATGGGTCCAGGCTTTCTGCTTCCTACTTTAAAAGGCTAAGGTAAAAAGCCACGCCAACTCTGTTGGCAGCAGCAGGTCCTGCGGCTGCTCCGGGAGAGGGACGGGACAGCGTGGCAGGCAGGGAGCAGGCAGGGAACCAGGCGCTGGAACGGTGGGTGGCTCTTCAGTCCAGAGGGCCTGCGGCCGTGGGACTAGTGTAGGAACGCTTCAGTGTGTAAGCAAACACTTGTTTAACCGTTTTTCTTCTTGAATCAGAAATTGAGCTATACAAATAAGAACTACAGAGATTAACACGAAGTCTACCCTTTTCTCTCATTTAAAATGTTTCATTGAAGAAGTTAATAGAAAAAAGTTACAATAAAAAATAAACTTAAAAAAAAACAACCACCACAAATCGGGGTGGGGGGGGAGGGTGGAGAAAGGACCTAAAGACAATCCATCAAAACAAAGTCACTAAAAACTGCCACTCTAAGTTGGTCTCCCAACCTTAGCGCAGCTAACCCTTGAGATCAGCCTGTTATTTGGACTCTCACACAAGTCACCGGCAGAAGTGCCACGAGGAAGGAATGACGAGGTTCCCACCGGTGATACACTCCATACCAAAAGCACCCTTAAAAACGTACCTAGAACACTCTGACCCAGTACTCAACTTACAGAAAGTAATCCTAGTGGGAAAGAGTAAGTGTACAAACACTACAGTTACGAGAGCAGCATGCCAGCACTGTTTGTAACAGCAAAAAGCAGGGGCAGAGGACTGTACACACCCACAGAAATTAATTCACTCAGCTGTGAAAGGCGTGTATAGTGGAGTAAGGTCCAGCGGTGCATGCAAACATATTTGATGTCAAATACGTTCAAGATAAACTTGAAAGGTTATACAATTTTACATGTACATTAAGATCCCATTTTATAGTGCTCTGAACATAAGTACTTATTCAGAATTAAGGGCACAGACATACACTTTTCACAAAGGATGTGGCCTGGAAAGAGTCACCGAGATGTTCACAGTGACTGTGTGTTTAAAATCATTTCACAGGGGTCTCACACAGGCTTTATTCAGTTTTATGAATGGATACAATAATGAAAAGACTGCCACCCCCATTTCAAAAGGCTAAGACCCTCCCATCGCCCCTGTTCTCAGCAGGCAGTTTACAAGCGTCACCCAGGGCTGCAGGGATCCATGGCCCCTGCGTCCTTGGGCAGCCTGCGCAGTAGTTTCTGAGGGACGGGAGGTGTGCGCTGCAGCCCTCTGGTGTCACCCTCTGGTGTCGCCCGCTGAGCCGGCATGTGCAGAGCCCTAGACCAGCGACAGCTGGGAAGGAGCCACAGGCGGAGAGGAGGAGCCCGCGCTGGCCTGGGCCTCCCAGCCGCGCCTTTCCAACAGCCTGAGATGGCAGCTCAGCAGACGGCGCCGAGGACTCAGCCCCAGACAAACCATACCCCTTCGATGCGGTTTTTTCCTTTAAGACCTCCTAGGACCTCTGCAGCATAAAAAAGGTCCAGTCAGAAACGAAGACTACACTAATTGAAATAAAGAACAACTTAACAGGGAAACAACAGTAGAGTGGATGAGGCTAAGAATCTAATCAATCATTTGGAGCATAAGAAACCAAAAAACAACCAATCAGAACAACAAGAAGAAGAAAAAAATACAAAAAATGAGAATAGTATAGGAAGCCTCTGGGACAGCTTCAAGAGATCCAACATTCTCATCATAGGGGTGCCAGAGGGAGAAGAGAAAGAGCAAGAAATTGGAAATGTACTTGAAAAAATAGTGAAAGAAAACTTCCCTAATTTGGTGAAGGAAACAGACATGCAAGTCCAGGAAGCACAGAGAGTCCCAAACAAGATGGACCCAAAGAGGCCCTCACCAAGACACATCATAATTAAAATGCCAAAGGTTAAAAGAATCTTAAAAGCACCAAGAGAAAAGTGGTTAAGGTTACCTACCGGGGAGTTCCCATAAGACTGTCAGCTGATTTCTTAAAAGAAACTTTGCAGGCAGGGAAGGATTGGCAAAAAAATATTCAAAGTTATGAAAAGCAGGGACCTACAGCCAAGATTGCTCTACCCAGCAAAGCTCTCATTTAGAATCGAAGGGCAGATAAAGAGCTTCCCAGACAAGAAAAAACTAAAGAGTTCATTGTCACTAAACCATTATTTTATGAAGTGTTCAAGGGGCTTATTTAAGAAAAAGAAGATCAAAACTATGAATGATAAAATGACAAAGATACGTATCTATCAACAATTGACTGAAAAACAAACTAAAAGCGAAAAAGAGCAGAGACAGAATCGCAGCGGGGAGAGCGTTATGAGGGTTGCCAGCTTGGGGGGGGGGGGCGTTGGGGGGAAGGGGTAGTAAAGAGGGAGTGGAGGCAGTTCGGCGCCACCCCTGCCACGGCTACCCCAGGCAGGACCCGTCGGAGGGCCAAGGGCTGCGGGTGCTCCTGCCACGCACGGCAGGCGTCCTCCTGTCCACACCGAGGGGCAGCAGTGCCTGCGGGCGGGGGGAGCAGAGACCTCCTGGGATGGCACGTCATACTCAGCACAACAAACCCCAATCTGTTTTAGTATTCATTTCTGATTTCAGCCGAGTAGACTGCGTCTGTTTGTAGTGACAAACTTAACTCACACACAGTAAACGAGACCTGACATATAATGGAAATAAAAGTAAAGAGGGGAGGGGGTTAAGAAGTACAATAGGTGGTTACAGAATAGCCATGGGGATATAAAATACAGCACAGGAAATGGAGTGGCCAGGGAACTTGTACGCATGACCCGTGGACAGGAACAATGGCGGTGGGGGGTGGCGCACGCTGGGTGGAGGTGGGTAAAGGGGGAAAACCAGGACAACTGTAATAGCATAATTAAAAAAATATAATTTTAACAAAAAGACTTCCTTTACTCAGGTTTCTTGGCAAACACAATTCTAAGTTCTATAAAGCCAAGTTATTATTGTTTAAAATGTCATACCATGGTGCCTTGTATGATATAGCACTTAATATAGTAAAGTAGAGTAAGTGAGAAGAACAAAGGTTTTGCTTATGAACTAGTAGTAACATCCATCTACCTGCAGGGAGATAAATACCTCCTTTCTGCTCTCCTTATTCTGATCAATCTCGAGGTCCATGGGGTTATTTCCATTTGCTTCCTCTAATTCATCCTCGCTGAAAGACAAGGAAAAGTTACTGAAAGATTACTTTGTATTAATTTTATTTAATATATAAATATAAGCAATAAACTGATTCAATGATAGGTTTAATATAAAATTAGTATGTTTTCAGACTGCTGAGATAAAAAATTTTACAATTCATATAAAAATACCAATTCTACAGTTCTTTTAGTCTAAATGATTAAGATCAACGATTAACACAGGTTTCTACTTCCCAGACCAGGTCTGTGGACATACTTGAGACACTGTCCAAAAATCAAGTCCCCAGCACCAGGAACGAGCTCCCTGTGAGCAAGATGCCCCATCTGCTCCCCTGTGACCACCCAAGTCTGGGCAGGACAGAGGCTCTGCGGGGGCAGGGACAACTAGGATTCTAAGCTAAGTTCATCTCAAAAAGGACACTCGCACTGACATAGTGCTTTTGCTTATATTCTTCTACGCAGTGCATTTTATTTAAAAAAAAGAAAAGGGACACCAGCCCCGTGGCAGGTAAGAGCGTTGCTCCCAACGGGAGCATGGGCCCCGCAGCACTCGGTTCCAGTGCCCGCATCCCGCCCGGTCTCAGGAGTCCGTCCCAGTGACCGCACACACTGCGCCCTGCGCCTCCCTGTGCCGCCCCGCAGCCCCGCCCCGCGCCTGAGGCAGTCTCTGCTCTGGCTGAGGAAAAGAAAAGAAAGAACCTGGGGTGGAGGCAGTTCGGCGCCACCCCTGCCACGGCTACCCCAGGCAGGACCCGTCGGAGGGCCAAGGGCTCCGGGTGCTCCTGCCACGCACGGCAGGCGTCCTCCTGTCCACACCGAGGGGCAGCAGTGCCTGCGGGCGGGGGAGCAGAGACCTCCTGGGATGGCACGTCATACTCAGCACAACAAACCCCAATCTGTTTTAGTATTCATTTCTGATTTCAGCCGAGTAGACTGCGTCTGTTTGTAGTGACAAACTTAACTCACACACAGTAAACGAGACCTGACATATAATGGAAATAAAAGATTTCAATCAGAAGTTGCTCCAGCGCTAAACTCATTATTAAGCAGGTACGCCACGTTTCTTCGGTGGGCAGAGGAGTACTGATCCACGAACAGGCCCGCTGGCATGTGGGCTGACGACCAAACACAGGCAGCGGCGTCTAGGGCGACGGAGTCACAGACCCTGCCCGCTGGAAAGAGCTCCGGCGGCTCCCTCAGCACCGCTCCCACGGCCTGCTTGGGCCAAGAGGCCTGGGTTCTCCCAACGTGACCCTCAACTCAGTCTGTTCCCACATGTTAATCTCTTTTATTTGAAATTATAAAATACTCCTCTGAGATTGGCCAAATTATTACTAATTTATAAAAATAGTATGTTATAGAAAATGTGGAAAATGTAACTTTAAATAGCCACCTGTACCACACCAGCCTAACAGAAGAACCGTGCGCTGTCTGCCGGCATCTTGGCTGCTGCCATCTCTGCCTGCAGGGCCGAGGAGCTGGTGGGGAGGGCGCACCGGCTGGGGCCTGGGCAGCTGTGCGCAGCGCCTGCCCCGCCGAGCTTGAGCTTCCTCCCAGACGCGGGCCCACGGCTGCCCCGACGCTGTGGCACTCGGCACAGAAGGCTGTGGACGTGCTGACGAAGACGTGTCCTTCAGCTAAGCCGCCCGAAGACTATCGCTTACTAAGAAACCATGACATGCTGCTCGCTCATTCATATACACGAAACAGATGGTCAAAAAGGGAAGGAGACCTCAACTGTACTGGCATCCTGAACGCACCAAACATGACTGTGCTGAATGCCTCTGGACAAGCATACCAAATGAGTGTCAGCCTAGGAAACGAGGTCCCTCCTGTTTGAAGACACCCTTAGGGGCACGAAGGAGCCTGTGGGGAAGTCTGCGCATCCAACCTGGAAGCCTCCTGACTGAAGGAAGAGGGCAAGGAGAGGCGCCTGGGGGCGGGGAGGGGGGCGCGCAGGGCAGTGCCAAGGCCTTCGCACAGCTCCCTGCAAGGGAGCGAAGTGTGTTCGTGAGGTTTGGTTCGGGCAGGGCAGCTGCTGGGAGGGACCCGGCACTGCTCTTCCTTGTCGTGTGTCCCCAGCTCCCAGAACTCTAGTGACTGCAGACGTCCCCAGGTCGGGGGCTGCACCCCCAGGCACCACTGACCTTTCCTCCCGCTCGCGCTTCTGTTTGCGAGCGTGGCGATCCATCACGCTGGTCTTAGTCCGTGTCTTCTTCCACGAGTAGTAAAATTTCACCAGACTTGCTATAGACTTATCAGGAAGCTAAATATAAAAAATGAGTGGCTTTAGATTCAAAGCTAGCATCTCAGAATCAGATGTGCTTAGATACACTTAATTAGGATCACTCTCATGCATTCAGAAACGTCCTAAGTCACGGCTCTTCTCCAATAAGGAAAAAACCATGAAAGGACGCTCATCCATACGTCTTCAAATGCTAAGTGTGACTGTAAGTGAAACGCAGCCAATGAAAGAGTGTAAAGCCAGGTTAAGATGAGCCAGGGTTCTCACACAGCTCCAGCCTCTAACAAAACTTTCGCATTATTTGAAACAATTTCGTTTTAGCACTATTGTAAATGTGAGTAAGCTTTCGCAGTAGGAGCCCATCAAACAGCACCCTAGAGTGTGAGAGATAAGCCGGCCTCCTCCAGGCCGGCAGGGCCCCACATCGCCAGCCCTCCACCCCAAGGCCTGTGCCCTGCACTTGTCTTCTGGAGAGTCCCTTCAGGAGAGCCTGGGCGGGGGCGGGGTCCCTGCCGTGGAGTGGGGAAGGGCCAGGCACGGCTTTACTCCGGTGACTCGTACTGGAGGAGAGGCGGCCCCTCGTCCCCCAGCAGCCAGCCAAGAGTGGCTTTTTCTAGAGGGAGCCGTACTGAACATGGGAATGCCCATGTCCGGGGTGGGGAGCACCCCTATCCCTCAGGTATGCGGCAGAGGAAAGGGGCTGGGGGAAAAGTCAATGGTCTCATCTACTTACCATCTGTTGGATTCTATGAAAAGTCTTCCCATGAAAACTAAAGGCTTGCTCAAACAAGACTTTATCCTCCACAGTCCACTCATCTGGGAAGGGGGTAAAGTTGGGCAAATCAGCCAATGATTTTTCAATATTATGCTTATGCCAAAAGAGCATCCCAAGAGCCTAGAAAAATAGTATCAGTGAAATTTTAGACCGAAGATGTGAACGCAACATTGAAATGGAATGAGGCGGGCAAAAGGAGGGCGCGCGTCTGTCTCCCCACCTGGGCGCATTGCTAAGCGGCGGCCCCAGAGAGATGGCCTCCCGGCGCTGACACCTCATCCCACAGCCCTAGGCGAGCAGGGCCCGGGGCTGCGCGCGGCTTGCTCGTGTGGCAGCGCCGGGAGCGGCTCTAGAACCCGTGCGCTGGCGGGGCACACGCTGATGCCCCTGCAGGTGAGGGGGGGGGGGGGGGGGGCACAGTGCACAACAATGCAAGGGCTTTGTCATTCTTTTGCTCACAAAACACAAATATTCAAAGCTTTTTTCAGCTCAAAGAGAAAAACAAATGAATAAGGAACAAACTAGAAACAAGAGATAACTCAGGAATACTTTCCTGAGAAAAGTCCTAAATTACAACTCTATAGTGAAAACAATCATATTTTTGAAAGTCAAAATTTTAAAAAATTCACAGGAGTATATTTAACAATCAATCATCCAATAATATATATACTTTCTAAATAGAATAAAAAAACTGATCATTTTTCTGGGCAACTTGGTGAAGTTCATGAGCAAGGTTGGAAAAGGAGAAGCATACATTTCTTGCTTTGAGAGACTCTGGAACTACGGACTATCTTATTGTAGTTGGCTTTTTAAACAGTTCTACCATGGTAAAATAATTAAAAATAAGGCTAAGGCTGAAAAGATAGTCTAATTCTATATAATCCTGATTACTTGCACCCTCAGTAATTGAAACTGCCAGGATAAGTGAAAAAATGTTAGTGCCTTATAGGCTGTAAAGTTTAGATCAATGCCAAGGAAAGCAGGACTCCAACTTACTGTGCTTATTTTTAAATAGTAGTTAGAAATGAGGTAGAGATAAGATAACCATCACACTTTTGGAGAAAAATAAATCTCGTGTACTTTCTATTAATAAGCTCCAAACAATTGTCAAAAGAAAGCCTTAGCCAGTTTTTACACTCTGAAAGTGACCCAAACAATTAATGTTAAAATACTACAGGCCTGAGGGGGACAGAACCCTTCAGGAAAAAACCACAGGCCGACAGATCCAGGGCTCCCCCCACCCCGTGCCCCGGGGCGCTCCGCCCAAGGCCTCATAGAGACTGGAGACGAGGCGCCTGCCTGCAGAGGGTCCTCTCCTGCTCGCCTGGGGTGGTGGAAAGGGGCCATAGCCCTGCCTGACCCGTTGGCAGCTCCCGAGGCTGCTGATGGGGAAACACTGCTAATCCCCACACACAGCAAAAAAGGTCAACAGGTCAGCCCTAAAAACCCACCTTTAACAACAAAAGAAAACCATGCCATTACCTGCTCCATGTTGTACCCATGCTTCTCTTTAGCGATGGCGATGTATTCGTCCACTGAAAAACAAGACAGGGGCTGGTGAGCGCACCCAGAGCAGAGCGGCCTCTGAGCGCGGGAGCAGCCGAACCAGCGCTGACCCGCGGGTACAGTCCCGCTGGGAGTCCTACCCGTGCAGATCCCACACACCCCACAGCTGACGGCGCGCGCAAGTGTCCTCGGCGCTTGTCACGGGATGGCAAGATTGTAATTTTTAAAAAAAAACTTGGTACTACTTGTTTTCTATGATAAACAAGTATTTTCTTGATGCGCTGAAAAATATTTAGAAACAAAATATTAAATTGGGGTTTGTTTTTAGTCTTAGCCAAGGCTGAAGAACAGGGAACTTAACTGCTTTATTTAAAAGCCTAAGAGACAGATGATGTGAACCGACGTCTGGTACTTGCTTTCAAGGGCTCAGGAAGCAGCAAGGGAAACCAACTCAGTCCCCAGAAGCTGCTGCCCCCAAATAAGAACCGAGAAAAGTAAGAGGCTACTAATCTTTAGTACTTCTTTATATTCATGTATGACTTTTCTATAAGAATGACAAAAATAACATGAGCTCAGAGACAACCAGCAACACAGAATTGTGCGCAACAAGAGTAAACCAGCCCCCCCCTCGGCCATCTCTCCCCGGGGAGAGGACAACTCGGGGCTGAGAGCAGGCGCCGGGCGCTCCGCCGCCCAGCCCCGCAGGCAGCAGGCTCAGCACCCGGGGCTCGGCGTGCCACTCGACTGTGCCACAGCCATGGCTCCCGACGGCGGCGTGACAGAGAACCCATTCAGAAAAGAGAAGTCGCTTATGAAAAATAATTCAGACTCTTATTAGCATGTATTGTAATGCTGGGGAAAATTTTTCCACTGACAGAGGAAAAAGTCCACTTAAACAGTAACTATTGCAACATGAAGGCATTCATTTTCTCTCTTCTTTTTTTAACATACAAGTACTTACAGACTGACTGCTTACGATGCTGAAAACGTAGCAAAATTCCAGTGTACTTGAGAGTCAGTGGAGGACACACTAAATGACCTTAAAACGAAAGGATTTTAAAAGTGAGGGGGAAAATTACTCCAGAGTGTGTCCTTTGCTTATGACTTCAAAGAGGGTGGATTACGCCAAATAAAAGACACATGTGCTAAGGTTCTGAAAAAGTCTGTGTGAGGGGAGGCTGCGCATCTGGCCAGAGCTCCGCGGAGGAGGGGGCGTGGCGTTTACCGGGACAGCCCCCGGTGCCAGCGGCAGCCTGGACGCAGGGGTGGACGAGGCTATGATGAAAATGAGGCGACGAGACCAGCCGCGTCGCCAATACGGAAGGGCAAGCAAGAAACAACAGACAGAGAGCGGGGGTCAGCGCCGGAGGGTCTGCTCTAGGCGCCGCTTCTCCGAGCGCCGACCTGGCGAGCGCGGCGCACGCGAACCTCAGCTCCTGCCGCGCACGCTCAGCTCCGCGGCGTTCGGACCTCCAGGCACAGCTCCTACCTGGGGGGCGGGGGGCGCGTGCCCTCTGTTACCCTGTTCGTTCATCAAGCCCGTCCCCGCTGCTGTCAACCATATTTAGTTAAAATTTTAGCTGGAAAATTCAGGGAAACAAAAGCATTCTTTGAATGTACTCTATTTTCATCTACTCTTTTGTTTATGAACATAAAAATGGGCTGCTGGTAGGAACAGTAAAACAGACCAAAACGCCGGTTCTGAAGGCCGCCGCGGCGGGGAGCGACGCCTGCCAGGCCGCACACGGCGAGGCGCGAAGCCGGCGCACAAGACCGCACAGCTGGTCGACGTTCCCGGGGACCGCCCGGGGACCCCAGCCGGAAGTGAAGGAAGGGGGACTCCAGCCCACTGCTCAGGCGAAGCCCCCGGGAACGCCGACCAGGACCCCAGAGGGCGACGGAGCGAGTGCACCGCGGGCGGCTGGCACCTTGTGAAAGAGCGAGCATCTGATAAGCACCAGCAGAAACACAACTGTCATCCTCTTCACTGTCCCCAGTGTCCCGCGAAGATTAGCGAAGCATCTGCTGACCGAACACCGGGATGCTGGGATAGGCACAATGGCAATAGTTTAGGTTCGTTTCCAGCAAGTTCAAGGGCGGCACAGGCTAGGGCTGCGGTCGGACAGACCCAGGGCAGACCCCGGCTCTGGCCCCTGACGGCGGAGGCCGTGGCGGCACTGCGGAAGCGCCGTCCTGGAGACCCTGCTCCCATTGGCAGGTCCGCGGCCTTCCCCGGCAGCCGTCTTCCCGGGCTCCCCCGGGCTCCGCAGGCGCGGCCCCCGCTTGGTGTGAAGGCGACGCCCAGCGGACGCCCCTCTGCCTCCTCAGGCAGCGCCCAGGGTCCGAGCACATTCAGACCGAAGACGAGGCTGTGCGGGAGGCTGCGCACAGGCCTCGCCCGCCCTGCGCCGCCCTGAGCGCCCCTTCCCTGCGGTCATGGGGACAGGCCGCGCCTCGCTGTTCCTAGGCGCCCCTGTGCCCGCGACCAGATCCCCAGCTCCTTCACCAAGGATGCCTGTGGCTGCTGGAAAGACAGGAGGGAGGGCAAAGTGAGAATTCTTCAAAACCGCTCATGTGGTTTCCTCAAGCAAAACTAAGCTTTCAACCTAAGAAAATAAAATCCACTCCCAACTGCCCTCATAAAAACAAAGGCTGACGAGATGCTCAGCGTGATGGATGAGAGATGAAACAGGCAGCAAGAGAAAGACAGGCTACCGGAAACAAACCAGTCTGAGACGAAGAACACAGGGCTCCTTCAGGGCTTGACCAGCACCTTCCTGTCTCTGGCAACAGTCTTGATTTTGCCTCTGAAGGATTAAAGGTCGACCAGTGGCCCTCCCAGCGGGGGCGAGGGGCCACTGCCGGCAGAGTCACTGGGAAGATGTGACCGGTGTGATGAGCAAAGTCCACGTGGCTTAAGGAAACGCCAGGCCACTTCCACGGGCCTGGCCCTTTGTGCCCAGCTGCCCTGCCCCAGTGCACAGTGATAGTGCCTGGGAGCCGTCGGGGTGCAAGGGCCAGACCGGCCCTGTGCAGCTTCGCTGACACCTTACACTCTTCATCAGGAGCAGGGGACTCAGAGGTAGTGCAGTCTACTTCAGAAGCAAGCTACCATTGCATAATGCTGCATTTTTTAAAGCTTGAAAATTCCTAGGAAACCACCAAGGAAAACTCTCAACCTTAAGTTACGATGGACTAAGATACACAGCATCCTGGTTCTTTAAAAATACAAAGACCATACACATCATACGCTTTTCTGATGAGAACTTAACACGGAAAGCACAGGTCAGGGAGTGTGCTTTCAGCGCAGCCCCACGTACAGGGAGAGCACGTGTGAGACACATCCAGGAAATTACAATACAGGCAGTAACATCGTAATGACACGGCGTGGCGCCAGTGGGTACCGGAAACACCAGGAGACACTTCGTAAAGTGTATGACTGGCCAACCACTGTGCTGTACCCCTGGCACGAATACAAAATAATACAGAATGTAAACTGTAACTGAAAAATAAAATCAGAGGAAGAAAATTCACAAAATTCCTAAAAGCATAATCAAGCGTTTGGTGAGCTACCCTTACTATAATACACAGAACGCTGTACCAAGTAGCAAGTAACAGACCCAAATACAAAAGGAAGGTGGACTGGTTTCCTTTGGTGGCTTGAAACAAAATATAGGTAACAGAAGAGAACATAAATACATAAAATCACAGTACAGATGTAGGAGAGCAAGGGAATGCAAAATAACCAGTAAACAATGATAATAATGACAATGTTGAATTGAGAAAAGCTTCCTAAAGATTCAGCAGTTGTACTAATTAAGTAATAACAGCAGCTAACACCTGAGAGTTCTATGTGCCAGCCCGTTCTAAGCTCTTCACAAGGATTATCTTTTTAAATCCTCTCCAATAAATCTGTTATCACTCTCATGCACAAATGAAGTAACTGGGACTCAGAGAAATTAGGTGGTTGGGCCAGGACCACACAGAAGTAGGACTTGAATGGACTCAGAGGGCCTGGCGCCGGGATCCGCGGTGTTGAACCTCTGTCTACACGATCTCCTCTCTCTTGATTAAAGGAGGCCGAGGGAGAAGGCCCCTTCGGATAAGAACAGTGTCCTCAGTACAGAGAACTGAGCAAAGCTAATCGACAGAGTCCATCTAGCTTGAACGCAGTTAAGAATACACAACTGTGGAGGACGAAGGAGTGGTGGAAACTGAAGGTAAGAGGGTAACAGCTGCCTTGAGCTAGGCTCCTCATGTTTTAACCCAATGAACTCTATGTCCTTGTATCAATCCTAAGAGTCTCAAGTTCAACTGCAAACAAGGAAGAATGCGGACGAAAGCTGCCGCAGCAACCTTGACTCACCCGGCCCTTGCCCAAGACACTGCAGTCAAACACCTTGCGACCTTGCAGCTCCATGCAGAGCAAGAGGCTGATACCATAAGCGGGGATGAGGATAAAGCTAGAGCTGTAACACAGCTTTTTAAAATGTTTATTATCGTAACATTTGCAGTAGCATTAGGTACCGCAAATAAACATGGAGCCAATTTCTCTCATAACTCAAACTGAGTATGCCCAAATTTCTTCAAAAATATAACAAATATCATGGCATCTTATTAAAATAAGAAATGAGTTATCACTGGAACACAGAATCAAAAGGCGGTTAAATCATTTAAATAAAACAGTTATGCCACCTGGTGGGCACAATGCTTACTACAGTTAACATTTCAAGGACCCCGAGTATCTTCACAAGGGGAACGAGGGCACAAGGAAGATGAGCCACAGAGACCTCTGGAGCATAGTATAGTGAGCTGGTCCTTCCTACTTGGGAATACAGTATACTTTCTTTATGAAAATACTATTTCTTAATGGAGTTTTGTTAAAACTCCACTCTACATTAAAAGCTCTCCCCCTCCTCCAGCACCCAGTAAACACTACACAATCCAGCCCTGTCTTACAGACAGCTGGCTCAAGTGAAAATGAACAACATGAGCACCTTGCCAAGCTCACACACCAGCGCAGCTCCGG